AGATGTATATATTGTAAAAATGAGAAAGTATGAAACAAAGAAGAATATGTATAAAATAATAGAATGGAAAATGGAAAACCCAAAATCAGAAAAAAAGAAATACCAATAACAGAAAACTGTAAAAGTATAATTGTAATTTTAATGTTTGGAAAATGTCAAATAATTTTTTTTTAAAAAAAGAGAGGAATCTTCCTTCATAATGAAGAATAGAAAGCACCCTTCTCTGTGTACATGCCAAAGCAGAGAGCATTATGCATCTCACACATGAGATTGAGCCTAATGTTATCTCATGGATTAATCATCATCTTGAACAACAGCCTTTAAAAAAAAAAAGGAGAGAGACAAACAGGTGACATCCAGAACACCTAATAAAGGCAAAGGAGTCCCTGTGTCATGTTTCACCTCAACTCACAACAGGGGCGCAGCTGGGCAGCTGCTTTCTGAACGCCTCAGAAGGTGATCTCCTGTGGGCTTCTTGGCCTCCAGATGCTCAGCCCAAATTTAAGGAACTTTAAAACCAACTCTTTCCTTTCATTCTTCCGTCCCTGCCTTATAATCCATCCCCTGAAGGTTAAGCTTAGAAATATTAATTACCTCAGAATCTCCTGCTTAGGCTGGTACCTCCCCACAAGTACAATCCAGGTGGCTCCAGCTGTTAATCTGATCTTTTTCTTTCCAGTGTGATCACTTTTAAATGAAAATGAACATCCTCTTAGGTCAGCTGGCTAACACAGCTGGATGAGGAATTCTGGGAGTTGAAGTCCAAAGGTCTTAAAGTTGCCAAGGTTGGAGACCCCAGCTCTAGGACAGTCATGGGTCTGTTTTGCCCATACAGTAGCCCAGTGTTATGGAGGCTCAAAAACCAGCAAGCATCTCCTTCAAAATTTGGCTTTTCAAAGAACCCCCTTCTGCTTCCATCTCTCCTAGCCTGCTCCCTCTCTCCCTTCCCTCCCTCCCAAACCTGTCCACACGGCTTTTAAGTTACAATGGAAGTCCAGTTTGGTGCCAACCAGAGAAATGGCTGGGAAGTTTTTCTTTCCAGATTCAGATTCTGGGTGTAACTTTATGTAGAGATTTGTGGTGGGCCATCCGCTCTACTCTGTAATCTTACTTAATCACGGAATGTTTCCTTAGTCCCACCCTCTCCTCACTTTGCCGGAATCCTAACTCTCCATTTTTTCCTCAGGAGCTTCTGTTGGGGATATTTCATCGCAAGAGACAAGGGTGACCAAAAGAAGCATCCTGCAGCCTTCCAAGTGGCTTCCCATTCTCCCCCAGTCTGAACTGGGGAAGAATGGGAGATGAGGTCTCTTATATTTTTATTCAGACACAGAGAGTCCACAGGGAGGTAAAGACATGAAGTCCCTTCTCTTTCTGGGGAACAAGGCAAAAGAAGTTTAGTGTCTGTAGTTCGGTTCCAAGGTGGGAAGGTCCAGGTTGGTCCAGGAAAGACGGGGCAGACCAAAGCTGGATTCACATTCTGAGCTAAGCAGCTTTATTTGAGGTACATACAAGTCAGAGTGATACAGATCAGGAAGAACCAGACTTTAGCAAAGAACTGGGTCTCCAACCAGAGAAGAAACAAAACCCTTGGTAGATGCAACCAGACACAATGTATATAGGATACCTCAGATTATTGACAGGCAGGGAATAAACTTGGCTTCTTTTAGGGCAGGGGTGTGCAAACCCGAGAACTTTAAGACTTGTGGACTTTAATTCCCAGAATTCCCCAGCCAGCTGGGAATTGAAGTCCACAAGTCTTAAAGTTCCCAAATTTGGACATCCCTGTTTTAGGGAGAAGAAAGAAACTCTCTACTTGGTCTCCCTTCTGTTGTAACCCTCTTCTCTGCTAGAGACTCCTCAGGGAAGAGACCAGATGATCCATCTATGGGGCAGAAGATGACATTTTTGCATCCTGGTTTGAGAAAGTGAAATTCATAGCAACCTGGGAGGTGTATATTGAGAAAAATGAAATGAAATCCCACCTCACTTTTCCTTGATTTCCGTGTCGGGAGGTGAGAACCAAAATAAATTCTTCCTTGTAAATGTGGCTTAGATACCACACATCCTACACTTGACGACTAGGTGTTTGTTTTTTGAAAATAAAATATTGAACCTACAGCACTTGAGTTTACTTTAAAGCATTTGCCTTGCCTCATTATTATAATCCAGATAAAGACCAGTTTATGAGCCCTATTCTACAACCATGTAAGTAAAATATCCCATTAAAGCAGCCACCCACATAAAAGAGCCATGAGCTTTAATGGGGGGGGGGAGTGGGGGCTGTTGGTGGTCTTAAATCCCACCAGCTATGAAACTCTAGTGAAGGTTCCTTCATCAACCTGAACCAGAAGACAACAGAGGCACCAGGGGTTAACTCTCTCCCCATCTCTCCCCTCTGTGTCATCCTCAAAGCCACATTCCATCAGCTACAAAGATAGTCTGAGATACCCGCCTAATGTCCACTTAAATCAAGAGGGCCAGCTATCATTCCTCCTCCAGGTGGATAGAGGTGCCACCAGTAATCTACAAATCGGAGTTACCCCTGGAGGTTTCCCAAGCTGGCTGAACGAAGCCCGCTTTGCTTTTTGTCCTCCTTCCCCTCCTCCACCACTGTGGATTTTAGGCTAAGCCCCCTTGCAAGGGAGGGGGCGGAGGGTGTGTGTTGAACAACATGACCGGAGTCCCGCTTTTAACTCTCAGGCCAGACTAAAAATACCCGCCCCGCCAACCACAAAGTCCGAGATCAACTTTCTCCCCCTTCTCCGCCAACTGCGCTCCGTTCGAGATCCACTTGGAAAAAGTCCACGTATGTCCCAGTCCCTGACACCCGAAGTGGGGGAGCGGGGGGAGAACCACGGAGGGTCTTACTGCCTTGGAGAGCCATCTCCGCCGGCCTCGTCCTCAGCCTCCGGGTCTTCTCCGCCCGCGGCCGGCCCCTCGAGCTCTTAGCGCTGCTGCTGCTCCTGCTGTGGTTGATCCTCAGCCGCCAAAGCAGCATCGGATTTAGGAGGATCCTCGCTTTCCGGCCGCCTCAAAGCCGCGTCTGCACGTGCGCTGGGGAGCCGGGCGCCTTCCTCTTCCCAGCCTCCCCGGCGGGCTCCCCACAGCTCTAAGCGGACAGCAGCTGCCGGAGGGAAGAGGCCACCGAACCAGCCCGCCTGCCTCCTCCTCTCGGCATTCTTCCGACGCGGCCGGCCGGCCGGGCAGAAAGGACCAGGCAGCGTAGCGGCACCCCGGAGGCGGGCGGGCGGGCGAGCCAGTGATTTGTATGGAAATGAGGGCACCGCTTGGGTGTCGGGCGGCTTCGCTTCGCCTCCCCTTCGCCCTGTAACTTGAAACTCCCTTCTGGGCGAAGCCTGCAGGCCTGGGACAGGCGGAAACCCAACAAAAATGCGCATCAGCCCTCAGGAGCGGGGGCGGCGATGCTGCCAGGGACGAACAGCTGAGAAAAGGGGGGCCTGCCTCTCCAGCATCCAGAGGATTCCCAGATCTCTTTAGGTGGGGAAGGAAAGGCTTTTGGGATCTGCTTTGTCTCCTGAACTGGCCAGGGACTCCAACTACTTTGGCTAATCATTAACCCCACTGGCGATTTCCGCCACAATGCAAGGGAGAGGAGGGCACCAACTGAAAACACAAGCTGTTGTCTGAAGGCCAGCAGAGGAGAAAGTGTGGAGTAGCTCAGAGTTGGCTTGTGGGCCTTTCTTTGGCTTTCAAGCCATTCCCATCATCTCTTCTGGCACTGGACCACTTGTCCAGCACTCTCAAAAGTCCAGTTTATTTAAAAGACCTTTCTTCCTTTTCTCAATTTGCTGATTGAATTTTTTTTTAAAAAAGAAGGAATGATCTCCAGGACACCCTCTTTCTGGCTTCCCATTTTATCTTTCCTAAAGAATGCAGTATTTTTGGCCTCCGAAGTTTTGGGATGCAAATGGTGTCAGAGTTTTCTTACAAAAGGATTGGGGCTTGATTTGGTTTCTGTGTCAAATGTACACAGCGGTGGATTTGGCTGTCCCAAATTATGTTAAAGACCAGAATTACAATTTTTCTTACAAAAACAAAAAGCTAAAACAACAACTGCATTATAAGTTTTCAGTTTTGCAAAGTCTGTGAACATCTGCTGTCCCCATGGAGCTACTGGGGGGTACCAGAGGTTTTCCCCATACTATAACACCTACTTGACCTTGACAGATCTCAGATAATCCCGCCAGGTTGGAGCAGATTAGGAATTGGAGGAGGAGCTACTGGGAAGAAAACCCTGTTGACTAGACTGGGAAATTCTAAGACAAGGACGGTACCAAAACAATTTTCTTTGTGATTTCTCTGTCCATAATGCAGGGGTGTCCAAACTTGGGAACTTTAAGACTTGTGGACTTCAACTCCCAGCCTGGCTGGGGAATTCTGGGAGTTGAATTCCACAAGTCTTAAAGTTCCCAAGTTTGGACACCCCTGCTCTAATGGATCCTTCAAGTCTTCTAATGATGCAGCCTTTGCCACTGTAACTGAGTTATTTATTGAACTTATTCATCAATATGAGAAAAAGTAGTGGGCGCTTAGTGAGTTTAACAGAAAACTAGACCCGTGATACTGTACTTCTGTACTTCTTGTAAGAACGTACATCTCTAGCCTTACTAAAAAAAATACTTGCATCTGAGTGCTTTGGCTCTCACATGATGGGCCCTGTGGGACTATATTTTGCACTAGTAACTCTTCTGTTCCCAGCATGGAGCAGCAATTCAAGGAAAAAGAAGCTATACAAGATTCAACTTGGTTCATGCTTAAATGAAAGCCAACCAGGAAATCCTATACTCTACATTGGACCACAAACCCTGAGAAATACTCTAGAAGACACCCATGGCTAACCTCTTCCATTCTGTTACGAAAGCTCTCCAGATGTGTTCACAAGGCCACCAGAAGCTGTCTTGAGTTTTACCCCCTCTTTCAGCAGGCATTGAAGATGGATACTCCAAAACAGGGTGGATTTGATTTAAATCAAGTCAATTTAAACCACGATTTAAATCACTAGTAAAAGGCTTGATTTAAATCAACTCGATTTAAATCATAATTTTTAAAGAGCAGCTGTCACCTCTATCCCGCAGCGGCTCCTCCTCTGACCCTCTGTTGACCAACAGTCCCATTCACTTTAATGGGACGGCTGGTGATGCGGCAGGGACACAAGGTGAGGGACATGGCAGGCAGCAGGTGAGTGGATACTGCCATGATGGATCTGAAATGACAGGTGCTCTTTAATATTATATTTATAAGCTGCTTAAAAGGTTTCCCTTTCATTTTTACGGCTTGCCCTTCCTCCTCACACTTAGAGCCTGGTGGTACAGATGCATTTCTCTTCAAACAATCATACAGTTTGTAGTCTACATAGATTTGCAAAACAAGGGGAATAAAGGAATATTCCCTGAACTTTGTTTTATGATTTATCCCATGGTTACTCTGAAATTGTGTGAATGTATCAATACAGTGAATGTTATTTCAGCTTGCAGAGCTTGGATTCATTGAATGAGTTTACCAAAATGTAAATATTGCAGAATATACAGCCTCATGCTTACATAATTAAGCCCCATTTTATGCTGAATAAACTGAATTATTAATGTATCTTAAACAGAAACCTATTTTTAGATAGATTTTTACTCCAAAAGCATTTTATTAAAATAAATTTGATAAAAATAAAAAAAATCCGATTTAAATTTTAAAATCCAATTTAAATGTTTTAAAAATCCAATTTTTTCATTTTAAAAAAAATTAATTTTTATCTACCCTGCTCCAAAATAACGTAGAATGACCTGAGCAAAAATGAAAACCTCCCTGCTGTAGAAAGGACTAACAAAAGTAATTGATTCTGTTTTTCCTCATTGCCTTGTGGACTTGTTGCCCTGTACGAGGCAGGCACCTCCCTCCCCAACCAGTCTAATTTGTCTGTGGTTCTAAGGCAAACATTTATAAAGACACAGCCAAGTATTGTGTGTTATAGACGTGGCAGCTAGTAAGTGCTAGTTTGTTCTTCATATTCTCCAAGGATTGGGGACTCAAGGTTTTTCTTCCTGTTGTTGGGAGGCCCTTAATACGTTTGTTTGTAAATGTACAGGCTGAACAGGTTTTGCACAGAGCAGAAGCAAGAACCAAAGTTGGGCTGGCCTCCAAATAATATTTCCTTGTCATTCGAAAAACTCAAAATACAATTTGTTATTCATCAAAATGTAAGCTTATCTCTTTAAAACTCAACTCAACTTTACAACTCAACTCTCTGTCCTATCAATGTTGGCTCTTATCACCTTACACTAATGGCAGCTCAAGATGGCTTTCAACGTGACAGTCAAAGAATCAATTAATAAATCACCTGCAATTGACAATGGATGGCTAGAGAGAACAAGTTTTTGTTAATGAAATTTAACCAACATCAACTTCAGACTTCAAAACTAAGAGCACCCATGTAAGTCATTTTCTGCTTTAGGTTCTGCATCTCAACTATTTTAAACCAGTATCTCAGAATATGCAGTAAAGTCAAAAATAGGCCATATTTGTCCGTCCATCCATCCATCCATCCATCCATCCATCTCCTTTCATGAACCCTAGGATGAAAGATTTATGCTACCTTTCCTCCATAGAGATAGTCTGCTTAAAATATACGTCTCTCATATTTATTGGTCTGATTGATACAATAATATAGAAACACTTAATTTTACAAAAGAAAGCAACAGTCATGTAAGAGAATACCCCAAGATTATTAATAACAATTTGGTTAAAAGAGTAAAGAAAGGGACCTGAATGAAATCAGAAGGTTATACCGATTAATTGCAGTCATTAAGGCAAGTAAGAGGCCATGAGGGCACTCTAGTGGCTAAAGAGAATTGACAAAGGAGGTTAGTGAAAAAGGAGTTTGCTGCATATACATAAGTGTGTATGACTAGTACTTTTCACCAAAGAAAACCTACAATGTCACTCCAGTTGTTTTAGGGTGTTAGCTAGTAAGATAAAAATGGTCAATTGTTTGAAACAAATTGTTCCACTTCATTGGCAGACCATGCCCTTTGGGCGCAAAGTTTCAGCTGACATCTTAATAAGGAATTTCCCATAGTAAAAGATGCACAGGATTCTTGGACAATGCAAGAGAATGTGAGAGAGTTGGACCAGGGTTAAAATTCTTGCTGAGTTCAGCACGTTCCATCTGTGCTAAAGAAACTGCAGGTGTTGAAAGGTGGAAAGAAGTCCCCTCTACTCTTCGCTATTGACAGAATGAAGAATATCATTGAATGGGGCTCTACTGTACCAAAATGCAGCAAGTGCTATTGTTCTTTACATGCTTCTCTAAAATATAAAGTTGTTGCAAAACTGGGATCAGCCAATCTGATGCAAAACATTTCCCAAAACAGATCACTATTGCAGGACTCTTGAGATTGTAGAGAGGACAATTAGCACCTCCATCTGAAGATGCATCCTCAAACTCTTGGATACGCCCCAAACCTCTCTGTTTTCTGTTTATAAAAGGGTAAAGGTTCCCCTCACACGTATGTGCTAGTGGTTCCCAACTCTAGGGGGCAATGCTCATCTCCGTTTCTAAGCTGAAGAGCCAGCACTGTCCGAAGACGTCTCCGTGGTCATGGGGCTGGCATGACTAAAAGCTGAAGGCGCACGGAACACTGTTACCTTCACACCAAAGGTGGTTCCTATTTTTCTACTTGCATTTTTACATGCTTTCAAACTGCTAGATTGGCAGAAGTTGGGACAAGTAACAGGAGCTCACTCGGTTATGCGGTGCTAGGGATTCAAACCGCTGAACTGCCGACCTTCTAATCAACAAGTTCAGCGTCTTAGCCACTGAGCCACTACAGGTATGTTAATGCTAGTTGGGACCCCAGCTCTGAAGTAAACCTGTGCAATGAAAGAAAAAGAACAGGTCCACTGCGGCCACCTCATCTATGGTACCCCCACTGATTGGGCCCACAAATGGAGGACAATCATACTAGATTCTTGCATGCCCAGAAGGGGCTCCTTCTTGTAAGGGCAAGGCAGGTTCAGCTGCCTGGTCTAAGGGGAAAAGGCCAAGCAGCCTCCCGTTGGCATTGCACCAGAAGTACAAACTGTAGTGTATATGCAGCTTTGATAGGCGGCTTGTTAGGAGAAAAAGTGGAAACGCTAAAGGGCAGAGCCCACTGCAACTCCGAGAGAAAAGGCGCCAGAAATACCTTCTTCAGCGTCTGAAATATATTCACCTTCACTGAGAATTTCAGGGACATTCACTTTACATGCTGCACAATTCAAGTGAACAAAAGGTTAGGCTCATTTTACAAATCCAGGGAAACAATTTACCATTGCAATTTTAATCGAAAACCCCACAGAAAGGGAGTCTTCTTAATAACAAGTTATCTTTCAGGCACAGCTAACACTGTCTTATCTTCCACGTACCTTCATCATCCGACATGTCTAAAACTTCATTCATAGTCTCTGGAACGTTCATTTTATGTTTTTCTGTGACGGTCTGTTAAAAGAAAGAAGCAGCATCAGTTTAATTTAAAATTATCAGTAACATCCTCAAGAAACCGTTGTAAAAATAATAATCTATATGAAACAGTGTGTGTCCCCCCTCCCAATCCCTTGCAGTATTTCATGTGCCTATTTTGTCATTACAGAAAATACTCAAAGGGATGCCCGTGTCATTGTGTAAGCCAGGGGTGTGTCAAACTCCATTTCCTTGAGGGCCGCATCAGGGCTGTGTTTAACCTCTGGGGGCCGGGGTGGGCGTGGTCAGCTCAACTTCACTCGTGTTGGGGGTGCGTGTGGTGGTCCGAGTGCTCTCCTAGCGAAAATGGGCTCCCGAGCTCCACTTTCCTGCAAACTTCGGCCAGTGAAAATGGAGCTCGGAAGGGGCACATGAGGCCCTCGAGAGCTCCATTTTCACTGGCAGAGGGACCGCAGGCCAGGCCTTTATTGTTTCCAGGGTGGCCCCATGGGCCAGATCTAACCACCTCGCAGGCTGGATCCGGCCCCCGGGCCTTGAGTTTGACACCTCTGGTGCAGACCAATCTTCTCCAGATGGGTGGGACTACGGCCCCCATCCCCCCCACTGTCTGAATATGATGAATTTCTACTGCTACCCATAGGTGTGTTTCTACGTGGCTGCTTCCAGGCAACTCTACTATAGCTACTTTCCGTTGCTTTCTCCCCCCACCCTCCATATACACACCATCTACTCCACAGCCCTGGGATTTCCTAATAAGGGAGGTCTGGGGTGGAGTGGGAAAGACTGGGGTTCAAGGAATCCCCCCTTTTACCCACAGAAGCACCCCAAGGACCTTGGACCAGTTGGCCCCACCTAGCCTATGCGGGTGGGGGGTGGGAAGTGGGAGGATTTTTTATGTACTTCATCTTGAGTTTTTCCACCCTAAATCTAATAAACAATGAACATTAAATTATTTGTTTCACGCGTGTGGAAACTAACGAGACAAAAGGAGGGTAGTGGTCTGCCAATCGGTAACAAAAAAAAAAAAGTTGAACGGATGTCATGATGCAATGTTAGGAGAACACAACCTTCCCAATACAACACGGCTGGCTGCTCCTTGTTGTTTCAGTAGTTGTGTTCACTGCTCCCTTTCCTCTGCTTCTCTTCGTCTTGATCCATTTTACAGGACTTGCTGCCCTGCTTTCCATTAGTTCTTTTCTTTTAAACCTGCCTCTGTAAAACTATTTGCAAGCTGCTCTGTAAGGCAACTTGCAAGCCTGAGATTATATTAGGAATTTCTGAAATGGGTGAAAATAAAAGAGGAGGGAGCCAAGATGGGTCTACCGTGAGCCTCCCTCAGTTGAATTTTCATCTCCCTTCAGCACTCCCTTTCCCGCTTCTAAGGCCTGAGCTCTCAGCTCAGATAGACGCTGTTCAGTGGTGGAGACAAAGGTCTCCATGGGAACTTCTGAGGCTGAAGCGCACCAGCCAACCTCTTCTTATAACCAGGCGGGGAGGTCAGTCTCTTGAGCTGGACTGCGGGAAAGGTGCCGTAGAAAATTTTCCAGCTCTCCAAAACTGGCTCCTTCTGCTCTTTCCTGCTGCGTTTTTAAGAAAAACACCCACCTGGAGAGAATTCTGTAATAGAAACCAAGCTATCCTGAATCATTCTGAGGACCAGCCACCCAGCTCTGGTCTAAGGTAGACAAACTGCCTTGGCATGGAGCCAGATGCATGTCTAATAAAGGAGAATGTCTGTAGCTCAAAGTTGAAATGAAGGTCCTTGGTGCTCTTTGACTTGCAGATGTTTCATCACCCAAACTAGGAAATATCATCAGGATAATGAAACGGATAATTTTCCTGCTTGGTTGCAGGAAAGCAACCAAGCTCAGAGAGCACCAAGGACCTCCCTCAGATGCATTTCTGTTCTGTCTGTTTCTTTGGAAAGACACAGCAGTTGCCTATGGAGAGGTAGCCATACTTACAATTGTCGTCATTGTCTCTTCCGTCACTATTTTCAGCGTGTCGACGACAGAAATGTAGCCCAGTCGTTTGGCAATGGCCAGGGCGGTGTTCCCATTCTAGAAGAGGAAAAGTTTTCTAAGAAGAGGGACTCTACCAGCTTCTCCACTGAAGAGGCAACTAGAGGTCCAGCATGCTTTCCTTCAGGAACTGTTAGCTGCTATCTGCTAGGAAGGGTTAGCTTGAGGCCGTTTCCATGGGAAGCAAATGGAAAAGTAAAGTCTGGCTTGAACAACCAATTACTGAAGATCAAACAGAGACAGTTGGGGTTATCGACACTCCATCTGTGACCAAGGTTATGAATTCCAAGAAAAGGGATACTTTAAGTGCAAATTGCAGAACGGAGAGGTGAGGAAAACCCCTTCAAGGTTGGCTGAAAATCCAGATAGCAAAAACATCTCAACTGTCCTGAGACAGGGATGAGCTGCCCTTGAGCTTCTCGATGAAAGCCATCCATAGGCAAGAGTGAGGGATGGTCCATGGGCAATCTGCTTCTTGAGAATGAGGAGACCCCCCTGGTACACATCTGACATGAAGGACCCCCCCCCATGACATATATATGGAGAGTTGAGCTGCATCCTTCCCTTCTGAGAACCCCAGAATTATGAACACAAGCAAAAGAGCAGCAGTTACCAGCCAAAGAAGAAGCTAAAAATGGGACCCAAGATCTCCCCACCCACCCAATTTCTTACCACAGTGAGCTCGTTGGGGGATGCACCATTCTGCAGCAGGACGTTGATGATGTGGGTGTGTCCTTGCTGAGCGGCTTGGTGCAGGGGGGTGTAGCCGTTCTAGGGAGAAAAAAAGTGAAAGGGGGCTGTTGCAGGAGACCCTCCAGGAACTCACCCACCCTCATCCACACAGAGAAAAGCAGACAAGAGATGGGAATCTCACCTTGGTTTTGGCATTCACTTTTGCAAATTGCTGCAGGAGGAAATTAACTATCTTTATGTTTCCATAGTGGCACCCAACGTGCAATGGAGTGTAGCCCATCTGAAATTAAATCCAGAAAAAGGAAAGTGCAAAAAAGAACAACAGCATGATTAATACAGCACTAAATGAAATAACGTAATGCATTTAGCCTCTAAGTCTTCTCTTCAACCCCCACCAAGGTCTAAAGTAGCAATAGCAATAGCACTTAGACTTATATACTGCTTCATAGTGCTTTTTACAGCCCTCTCTAAGTGGTTTACAGAGTCAGCCTCTTGCCCCCAACAATCTAGGTCCTCATTTTACCCACCTTGGAAGGATGGAAGGCTGAGTCAACCTTGTGCCTGGTGAGATTTGAACTGCCGAACTAAAGCTAGCAGTCAGATGAAATAGCATTCAGTTGTGTTTTTAAAAAAAGGTTCAAAAAACACATTGGACCAAAAAGCAGATGGACTCAGTTTACGGAATCACCATGGCCATGGGGCACCAAAGAAAGGTAGCAGCCATATTTTATTCATACCCCAATTTCGGAATTGTGGTGCTAGCTGGGAACTTTGTAGGTTGGGAAAGCTGCCTCGATCAGACGGACTGCTGGACTTTGAGCCAAGTCCAGTTCTGGATTCAAGTCCCCTTGCAAATATAAAGCTGAGCTAAAAGATTCCATCACAACTATCCTGTCTCATGGGGTCTCACAAAATGCAAGGGGCCTGGCTGGCCAGAAATGTTCACCTGAGCAACTCTGGGGAAATGCAAGATGAAAACACTGGGTGGACACATGGCAAAGGTGCTCACTTTTTTGTGTGGCTCCTGTCACAATGAACATATCCATTGTAGGATTGAGGAGGAAGCACCAAGGATTATACCATCAAAAAAAGGGGGGGGGAACCCCCGAGAGAGAAAATTCTGCTCCATCAAAAATGCTGATGACAAGGAGGCGGCGGTGGTGTCTTCAGACCTTTAAGGATCACCACAATTACCCTTAAAATTCACGAGCAATTTAAGCCTTATCATTTGCATCAAGAAAATATTATCTCTCCATTCAGACAGATGCTTATTTAGCAAAAGTGAGCTGGGAACGCAGAACAGGGACAGTTCACAAAAGGGTCAAGGTAATGTGATCTTTTCTGATGCACAACTGCACCACAAATACAAGCCCTCCAGAACCTGCTTGCACAGATTCCCACACCTCTTCCTTGAGACACAGGTACTTATTTATTAGATGCAAGTTAGTAATGCAGCTATTTATTCACTTGCACACTTGAGAGCAAACATAGGCATTTATGTTCACATTTTTATGGTGGCATCCACTGTTCGTTTTTTAAATACAGTGACATTCCTATGACACAACTACTGAGAAACACTGACCTACTGAGAAAATCTACCAGCAAATTTTGCTTCATAGAGCTAAGCAAGGAAACGGACCATCATTTTCCTTGTCACAGCCCTGCCCAGTATCTCTGGATGGAGAAGGTCAGATGGACTACAGAGAATTCAGCAGGAGGTCAACAAGCATCCGCTTTTATGTACTCAGCCCTGTTGCCTTCCTTGGCATCATTGCAGTTCTTGGAACATGAACCTGGTTTGAAAATCAGCCCAAAATTTGAGGTATTGCAAGACCATTCAGAAGATTTAAGCCAGTGCTTCTCAACCTTGGCCCACCTGAAGATGTGTGGACTTCAACTGATCCTGGGGGATTCTGGGAATTGAAGTCCACGCATCTTCAGGTGACCAAGGTTGAGAAACACTGATTTAAGCAAAATGTGGCCTGCAGTCCTCTAGGAAGATTGGCTCCTGTTCTATCTTTTCTATTTAACAGCAAATAGCCTTTTAGATTTCACATAAAACAGAGCCAAATGCCTCTGTCCTGATGTTATTTCAGCTTAATTCAGTCAAAATGTGAATATTTTGGCCATTAACAGCCTCTCCACTCTTTCATTTATGGAACTGATTGGTGGAGCATAATAAACCCAATAGAAACAACAAAATGAATTAATCTTCTATTCATTATAATTTCCTTTCTTTCATCTAAACAAGGAAGGATAATAAATGAGATTACACTTGACCTGGTTATTGAATACACCAGTTGGTGGATTCAACAATGTATTGAACTGTAAGCTAACCAAACAGGTTGAACTTATCTCACAAGAACCTAATCAAGTGTAATGCTAAACAAACTTAACATGGCCTGCAAAAAAAGCACCTAGTAGATACGATGTGCAAACACAACCCTTGAGCACAGTTCTGTTTCACTGTACATCATTTTTGGCAGAGGAAATTTAATTTCTGGATTGGTTTAGGGGAGGGCAAAGTATATGTGATGCCATCTAGTGATACAGTCAACATCTACATGAATGGCTTCTTACAGGTGAATTCCAGGTACGGAGACCCAATTTTGATTACACCTTTTCATACTGATCTGGCCTGAGAGCCAAGTGCTGCTCCTTGTACTGGACTATCAGGTTCCCACATCAAATCTTGATTACTATTCTCTGTGCCAGGTAAATAATTCAAAGTATGCAATGAAAATATCCCTAAATATTGCAGCAATGTCATCATTTTTGAGACGGCATTTCAGACCCAGTTTCAGATATGCTGTCTCCTGTCCTTCCTTTAAAACTATTTTGTTTTACAGTGAGCACTAAGCAAGCTAACAGGGTCCCATCTAGGCTTCTAATTAAATTGCCAGTGCGTCTGGGTGTCAGGAAATGCTTTAAAAAAATGATTTACTGGAAACACTGAATGTGCTGGAAAGACACAATAGAATAAGAAACTGAAAGAATCACCACCTGTACCTAACACCACGTAAATTAAATCAAATAGATGTTAAATATTTGTTGGAGGTGCGAGAAAGAGGTTGGAACATATAAACATATGTGGTATGATTGTGATAGTCCACAAAAAAATATGGGACATTTAAAAGTTTTTAGCACTTTTAAATATAAATTTAGATATGTCACCGAGGATTGCATTACTGTTGCTGGTGGAAAAACAGGATATAAATGAAACAAAAAAGGAATTGATTGTAAATTTGGTAATGGCCCCTAGATTAGTGATGGCTAAATATTGGGGATGAAATTAAGATATTCAAAGAAATGAGTGGTATAATGAAATTTGGAGTATGGCAACAAATGATAAAATACCAACAGAAATTAAATTTTAAAAAGGGATGATTAAAGTAAACAACTATAATGAAATATGGGAGGATTTTATAAAAACAGTGTTTGTGGAAGACAAAGGGAATAAACCTACTCAAGAATATATGTTGTTTTGGATAAGGGCACATTTGGAATATATTGTATATCTTTTACCGTGTTTCCCCGAAAATAAGACAGGGTCTTATTTTCTTTTGAAACCCCAACCCCCACCCCCTCAAAATAAGCACTTGGTCTTATTTTGGGGGAGGTCTTGTTATTTTTGAGGTGCAAGGAACCTCATTTTCAGGGAAACAGGGTAGTTTTTATAGAAGAAAAATAAGGGGGGAAAGGAATGGGGGGGTTGCGCTGTAATATTTATATTTTTTTTCTTTTGTATTTACAGTTTTATATATATTATGTTTGCATTCTATGTATGGAAGATTTTGTGTGTGTGTGTTTTTGTAGATTTTCACGGGTATAAGTATGCTGGTCTCGTTGTATTCGGGTCTTTTTCTGTGTAAAATCAAGATTGTCTTGGCAACATTTCGGCGAGGTCTCGCTCGCCATCCTCAGGCTGGTGTTTTTGAAACAGATCCAGTTCCCAACTGGTTTCCTAATTTATTTGGGCCTTAAATGTGATGGTTTATGTCATGTGTTTATGTGCAGGATTCCTCGTCTTCTCTGTCTGCCTGTTTTTCCCCTCCATGGAGTTTGCTACTTCAGGCAACCGTGCCAGCACTAAATTTATGACAGGGTAATCAGCTTCCCGACCTTTGATAAGAGGACAAGGGCAGGTAATTATTACTGGAGCAGACTTTTTTCCACTGCCAAAAGAAAGAGCCTGCAACCCTTTCATCAGACTAGCCGGCTGGGCTGTCTGTTATTATGTCCACAATGGAGCCTGGGTCCTTCTCTGAGCAGGAGGGCAGAAAGACCACACAGCTTGCCTTCACCCAAGTAGGCAGTTAGGCCTCCTATTCAAAACGAGTCTGGGTTTTGGTTTGTTGTTGTGGTTGTTGTTTTTAAGGCTACAGAGGGAATGAAGGAAAGCATCTTCTTTTGCCTGATCTAAAGGAAGAGAATTTGTCCAATTTATCTACTCTTACGAGATCCACTCCTCCCGATTTGAGAAGTTCCTCAGCCTGCCTTTTGCATCAACATTTTTGGCCAGGAGTCCACAAGTTTCTTGAAGAAAAACCATGCAAAAATCCATCACTGCCTTTCAACTCCTTCAACCATCCAAAGATTTAGGGCCGCACCTCCTATAGGTCTCAGCCAGCCCGGGGAGCAACTATTATGATTTTGGAAATTGTAGTCTGAACCTCCTGTGACTGGATTTTTTGTCCAACAAGGTCACAGGTCTCACAGCTAAACAGTTCCAAAACAGAACAGTGCCTCTGGGGTTGAGGGAGGCAGAGTATTTGAGGCTTTGAAGTAGGCCTTATGGTAGAAATGAGAAGGACCATCCATCCACAGACTGGATAACATAGTGATGACATCAGTCATACAATAGTAGGGCCCAGAAAGGAGTCCATAGGCAGCTGGGCAGGCCCCAGAAGAGATCTGATCAGCCGCATCCATAATCCCACCCAGCTGTGGTGTTTTATTTATTTGTTTGTTCATTTGTTTATACCTTTTTTGAACAATGGTGCCATTGACCCAAGAAACAATTCCTAAGTCAGAAAGGGCAGTGGGATGGATGGAGTGGTTTTACCCATGTTAACTTGCCCTTCTGGGGATTCTTTAAATATAATCTTTCCATAAATCCTACCTTCGTGGGTGCATCCACCACAGCTCCTTGGTTGACCAGCACCTCCGCCACGTTGATTCTGTCCTCCTGGGCTGCCAAGTGCAGTGGGGTAAGACCACTCTGCAAATCACATACAGCAAATCAGTTTTGGGCAAAAGGATCTTTAACAGATAAACAGAATTGGAAGGGACCTTGTAGGTCATCTAGTTCAACACCCTGCCTAAGCAGGAGACCCTATACCATTTCTGACAAATGGCAGTCCAATCTCTTCTTGAAAGCCTCCAGTAATGAAGCTCCCACAACTTCCGAAGGCAACTTCTGTTCCATGGGTTGATTGCTCTCATTGTCAGAAAGTTCCTCCTTATTTCTAGGTTGAATCGCTCCTTGGTCAGTTTCCATCCATTATTCCTTGTCTGACCGTCAGTTGCTTTGGAAAATAGCTTGACCCCCTCCTCTCTGGGGCAGCCCCTCAAATATTGGAACATTGCTATCCTGTCTCCTCTGGTCCTTCTCTTCACTAGACTAGCCTGCCCAGTTCCTGCAACCGTTCTTCATATCCTTTAGCCTTCAATCCCCTAATCATCCTGGTTGCTCTTCTCTGCACTCTTTCTAGAGTCTAACATCTTTTTTATAGTGTGGTGACCAAAACTGGATGCAGTACTCTAAGTGTGATCTTACTTAGGCTTTATACAGTGGTATTAGTACCTCATTTGATTTTGATTGTATCCTTCTGTCAATGCAACTTAGGATTGCATTGGCTTTTTTGGCTGCCGCTGCACACTGCTGGTTGTCCTATTTAGGTGGTTGTCCACTAAGACTCCAAGCTCCTCTCACAGTCACTGCTATTATGCCTAATTTCACCCAGTCTATATGTGTACTTTTGGTTTTTCTTGCCTAAGTGTAAGACTTTACTTTTCTCTACATTGAATTTCATTTTGTGAGATAGGGCCCAGTGTTCAAATCTGTCAAGATCCACCTAGATCTTGAGCCTACCTTCTAAAGTGTTGGCTATTCCTGCCAGCTTAATGTCATCAGGGCTTGGGTTTAATGCCCAGCAAGGCCAGTGCTCTCCTCCTGAGCTTAACAAGAGGGCAACAGAAAATGCACTTGTGGTGCTCAATACCCATTTCAACCAGATATGTCAAATTAGACAATTAAAGACTGAAAAAGGAATAGATGGTAAACAAACAATTGAGTTGCCATGTTTTATAAAGGAGGTACTATTGTTTGTGTTGGGGTACAATATAGTACACATTATACTATCATGCTGGCACAGCACAACTACTCCAGGAGCCCTTTCCTCATGGTTTATTCATCCTGAACATTAATGTGGCATATACAAAATGAATCAAAAAGATACTGTGAGTTTCCTTGCAGTGCTGCATTTTCCTACAATGGAAAAAGACTATACATAAGATCTCAGTGGTGCCCAAAGCAGCAACTGCAATTTTTAAGAATGATACCACAGGCCCATCGAATGCCTGACCTGAACAACATTTTATCAACCACAATCCTACTTTGTTCCAGGCTGCAAAAGGAATTTTCTCACTTCATCTTACGTACGTTTTGCATCAGTTCAGTGAAGATTAACTGGTTAATTTGCATTTTGTCAATTCCATGTGATAGTGGTCTGTGGTTCTATAGTAAACTTACAATAGATGTAATAGAACTACCGGAGTTAACTACAATATCCCTGCAATTCTATGAGTCAGAAGCAAGATCATTTGACACCAGGATACAAAAATAAAGAGAGGTGTAAGACAAGTGAATTATAAGCATTAGATGTCTTACTCTGTCTGTCTATCTGTCTGTCTGTCTGTCTCTCTCTCTATCTATCTATCATCACCTATCCTATCTAATCTCTCTCTCTCTTCTGTGTATCTATTATCTATCTATTACCATCTCTCCTCTCTCCCTATCTCTCTCTCTCATCTATGTATCTATTTTCTATCTATTACCATTTATCCTCTCTCTCTCTCTCTGAGAGAGAGAAAGAATTAAGAGAATCTGATAACATCTCATTAAACCTTTTTTTATTCCTTGCAGAATTCAATATTTAGGATTCACACGACTCTCCTATGCCAGGCAGGGATCTATATGTGTCCTGGATTAGAGTTTTCATGCTCCTGTCCCACCAGCATTCATGCCATTAAATCTGGTTCGCAAACTTTTGCACATCCTTGCGTAGGGCAGAGACTGAAGGTCATGCAAAACTCACAGTCATGGAACAAGATTCCCTGTGGACTATTGGAGTTATTGCAAACAAGGCATGGTAGCACAACCCAGCACAACCCATGGGAGAGCAGGGGATCTCTCCGTTGCCCTCGCACCTTGTTGCTGAGATTCACATTGGCGTTTCTGGTGAGAAGCAAGGAGACCATGTCCATGTGACCCTCTTGGGAAGCCAGATGCACAGGAGCAATGCCTTGTCTGGTCACAGCATTGGCATCAGCACCGTATTCCAGCAGTGTGGTTGCGATGTCCATCTGGTTCTTCTTGGCAGCAATATGCAGCGGAGTGTAACCGTTCTGTCAAGGCAAACATCTTTGGTTATGGGTCCTTTCATTAAACAGGAGAGGGGCTATTACTAGCATTTGCCGGTGAGGCTTTCTAAACCTTTAACACTTATGCTTTCTCTTGCATAGTCCAGGAGAAAAAGGTTTCTTTTTCCCTTTTAAAGGAAATTATGCAACCTCTCTCCCTCTCCACCCCCACCAGTAATATTCATTTTCTGGTCTGGCCTGCTTGCTGATTTCCAAGACAATCATGTTGTCTGAAAACGCCTTTGTTGATTCTCCTTATACTTTCAGCTAAAAGACATCACTAAGAAAAGAAGGGCCAGTTTCCATTAAGAAATATTCCTCTGGGGCCCAACCTCATTCTTCCTTTCCTCCCCTTGTAAAAAAAACAATCGGAAGATTGGAAGCAATTCCATTCATGTATGAAACTAGCCACAGCGTCTCTGTAGGACCGCAGACAGCAACCTGGGTAGGGATTGGGAGATGAAGAGAACTATTTGAGATGTTAGAACTTCTGGAAGCAGAACCCTGGACATGGCGATGATGGTGATGTCACAGGGCAACTCCCAGTGACACAGTGGAGGAATTCTCTTCCCCCCTCTTCCATCAAGGGAAGTTGTGGAACTAAGGTAGATGTTCCCTGGATTCTCTCCTGGAGATCAGAGTCTGTTCAAAGACAGATAGATGTGGCCATTTCTTCATCTCTGCAGAACTGAGTGTTTGGGGAAAGCAGCTTAACTGGAAAGGAGGATTTGTAAAGGGGAGCCATTATTAGGGAGGTGGTCTAGAAAGGGGAAAAGAGAGTAATATTGGGGGAGGGGAGAATATAAAACTTTAAAAAAATACATAGAATAGTTTTAATAAGAATAACATTAAGATAAAGGTTCCCCTTGCACATATGTCTTAGTCATTCCTGACTCTAGGGGGCAGTGCTCATCTCTGTTTCAAAGCCGAAGAGACAGTGCTGTCCGAAGACGTCTCTGTGGTCATGTGGCCGGCATGACTAAATGTCAAAGGTGCACAGAACGCTGTTTCCTTCCCACCAAAGATGGTTCCTATTTTTCTACTTGCATTTTTTACATGCTTTTGAACTGCTAGTTTGGCAGAAGCTGGGACAAGTAACAGGAGCTCACTCTGTTATGCAGCGCTAGGGATTCGAACCACCAACCTGCCGACCTTTCTGATCGACAAGCTCAGCCACTGAGCCACGGTGTCCCACACAACATTGGGGAGCAGAAATATGCCCCCGCCTACTTTTACCCACACCCTGGGTCTCCTCATCTCAAGAGAGGATTGAACAAATGTCAAGCAAAAGCCCACAATTTCATACTTAGATTGCTTGGGCATTTGCATTAAAAATAAAGACAAGAGTCAGTAAGACACTTCCTGCCTCTTAACTGTGGAGATGCATGAGCTGGCTACAAAACAGTAACGACAACTCAATTACTATCATCTCTGTTCAGAGACACTGGACAACTTTCTGATTCTAGGATCTAGTTGAAGAAGAAGGACAGATTAAGAAGCTGGGATGCTGGCACTGCACCGTCTAGGCACGAATAACTGGAGAAAATTATCTAGGAAAGATAAAAATGGCATTTTCTTCCATCCTATTTGCAGAAGTTGATTTTGGCATAAAGCGGTGGCTGCTAGTTAGGCAGACTGGTGCACCTTAGAACAGATCTGCATTTTGGCAATATTGTTTTTATGGAGTGGTAAAAAAGGAAACATTTGAGGTGGGGGAATGACAGACCTCCCAACCTCCAGTCAATGAAGACAACAGGAGGAACAGGAGAAATCCTTCCTTTCCAGAGAAAATATGGAAGAAAACCATCAGCCAATGTGGCTGTTGACGAGTGAACAGCCAGGAAGCCTCTTCCATGACTTAAAGCTCAGCTCAGCTCAGTTTTGTGACTTTCAGAAAAGCCTTTTCAAAAAAACGGCCTGTAGGCAGCTGCTCAGCCGTTGGATCAAAGGTGAAGGGACCCAGGGAGCCAACCCATAATTTCTGGTTTTCTCTCAAGTCTTTCATTTTGTCATTTGGGTTTCAGCGCAATGTTGGCTCAGGAGGGGAAAATAGAAGCACCAGCTGTACGAAAAGAGATTTTCAGCCTCAAACTAAGGCAGCATCCTGACTCCATGAAGATGGCCTATTTCTTAGGATTGCACCCAGTGGTAAAGCTTTGAAGCTCGGACCTATTTTAGAAAAGGGCCAGACATCTAAGCGTTTCACCATTCCGTGGGAAGCAATCCTTTATGCAGGTTTTTACTTCTCTGAAGAAACTCTTAAAACAGACCTTTGCGATGAGAAAGCCCTCTGGCCCAAAATGAAGCATGTACCTAACAATCCTAACCCTGATGGACCAAATAGGGGCTGTTTTGTCTTACAGCTTTATGACAATATTTATAAAGTAACTTGTATTTCTCAAGGCAGTTTAGAATCAGGGAGATATGCCTGTGGATTGTAGATTACATGACCAAGATACCCACAAATTTGCTTTGCAAATTTGCATAAACCCCCTAAGCAATGTGCCATAGGTCATCCCTTGATTTGCAGATCTCAAGATTGATTGTTAGGTTTATCTCATCCCATCTTATCACAGCCCACCTTAACTTACAACTGGTATGTAACAGTTTCTCACTATGGTCCCTTGGATTTGAGCCAGCAAGGGGGGAGCCTAGGATCTTATCAAAGTATTTGAGTCTGGCACATATCGGAAATGACCAAGCCCCCCAAAACACCACTCCATTGGGCAATTAGGGGACGTGCCTCCCCATCTTCTCTTTTAAGTGCTTCACAGTTAGCATAGCTCCTCCTCAGAGGAGGAAAGAAGTAAAATTCACCCATCATCTTGCAAACATTCTCCACCAATTCAGTTCCATTAAGACAGAATAGAATAGAATAGAATAGAATAGAATTGGAAGGGACCTTGGAGGTCTTCTAGTCCAACCTCCTGCTTAGGCAGGAAACCCTGCACCACTTCAAATGGTTATCCAACATCTTATTAAAAACTTCCAGTGTTGGAGCATTTACAACTTCTGGAGGCAAGCTGTTCCACTGATTAATTGTTCTAACTGTCAGGAAATTTCTCCTTAGTTCTAAGTTGTTTCTCTCCTTGATTACTTTCCATCCATTGCTTCTTGTCCTGCCCTCGGGTGCTTTGGAGAACAGTTTGACTCCCTCTTCTTTGGGGCAACCCTTGAGATATTGGAACACTGCTATCATGTCCCCCCTAGTCCTTCTTTTCATTAAACTGGACAGACCCAGTTCCTGCAACCGTTCTTCATATGTTTTAGCCTCCAGTCCCCTAATCATCTTTGTTGCTCTTCTCTGCACTCTTTCTAGAATCTCAACAACTTTTTTACATTGAGGTGACCAAAACTGAATGAGAGGCCTTACCAAGGCATTATAAAGGGTTATCTTTCCAAAGTGTTTCTTCTCCTGCCTGAACAATCTAAGTGAGTCTACCACAGGAATTTTAGCAGGGATTCAAAGAATACAACATTTTGTATCAATGGTTTCATTTATTCCAAGTGTTTTGCTGGATTGGATTAAGATCAAAATTCTACACGGGCTTCTCAAGGAGTGAACATTAGTGATCATCTCTGAGGAAGCACATGCAGGTTTGAACTGAAAAACAGAGCATCAGAGATTGGGTTTGAATCTAAGGGCCATGTTCTGGAATTCGGATTGTTACCTCATGTACAGAAATCCATTTCTGCGTTTGCCAAGTTTCCACTGAATGCAAACATGTTGTTGGCATTTTCCACTTCCACCTTTCCAATCTCTAATCAATCTACACACAGTGGAGTGGCCACACAGATACTGATGAAAGTGATAAACAATCATGCAAGGGTCTTACCTGCTTAACTCTCTCCTCCCCTTTGACATCAAGAGACAATAGGAAAAAAGTAGCCTATTCAAGTGACACATTTGCCCCCATGCAGGAAGAAAAAAAGGACAGTCCTGAAGCTATGGGACTTCATGTTGCCTTTACAATATTTCACCATTGCTCCTTCTTTGCAAAGGAAGCGTCAGTGTTACTATTCATACAACACATTTAACCAGAATGATCCAGCCAAAGGGCTCCTACCCATAGCTTAACTTGGTCTGATTTCAACTTTTCTGGCTTAGTGCATTATTCAAATACAGCTTGCCAATGGTTCTATACATTATGAGAACACAGAAAATCAATAAATAAACTAACACTTTAAGCATGTTGTGTGAACGCAGTCAAAGTCCTTTAGGTATCTCCCTGATGCTGTGTGAAAAAACCTGAAGGAACTATGCACTTCCTATTCCTCGCCTTCATGGAGACTGTCTCTAATACTGATGCAAGAAATCTGGATATATTACTATTTACACCGAATCCTACATTATCTAGGGTGACCTCTGATGTCCTCTTGTGCCAATCATCCCTTATGTTTTTCTACTGACCTTATGACATACATTCTCTCCCCCTCTCTCTCCCCCTCTGCCATTCCTGTAAATCACAAAGACTAAACCTTGTGTGCTCTGCAAATAGCAATGCCAAAATAATCACCTCCATCCAATCCATAGATTTCTGAGACTATCAATCACCATAACTATCTAAATCTGTATAATGCTAAAACAAAATAAAGTCATTTGTGTTTTGGCACTCCAAAGCTTTCCAGATGTTCTCTCAGAACACCAAAATTGGGATATTTTGCCAAATTAGGAGACTCATTTGGATTGTGTACTGCTGCCATAGTTAACTACAACACTACAGATTTAATTTACACTTTCATAATTATGTTCTATAAGCACAAGTACAAACACAGCTTAGAGGTTCCATAGGAGTTTCTGGGCTGAAGACAACATTGCAAGTTTCCAATACTGGTCCAGAAGAGACACAATGATGAAGCCCATTTCATCTGGACCAGAAAGTTTTAGGGGGCCCTTAGTGTTAACCTTGTGGCTCCCAATCCAGGAGAGAAGAATGAACTTCCCTAAGCATCAACCCTTTGTCAAATCCTCCTTTACCAACTCCATGTCTTCCTTCATGCGGATGATCAAGATAAAGGTCACCCATCATCTAACCTAGGGGGTGCCCAACCTTGGCAACTTTAAGACTTGTGGACTTCAACTCCCAGAATTCCCCAGCCAGTCATTCTGAATTCTAAAAGTTGAGGCCCACAAGTCTTAAAGTTGCCAAGGTTGGACATCCCTGATCATCTCCTGCTTTGGATCATACTGTAGTGTTACTAGAGGAAGTCCAGCAGGGCTTCCAAAGGAGGGGAAAGATGGGGCATGTGGCTGGATCTTCACCCCACTCGGTGGCATTGGTACCTTTGCAGAGGCGTGAGGAGAAGCTCCTTGGTCCAAAAGGAGAAGTGCCACTTTCTGATTATCGTAATGTGCCGCAACATGCAGTGGAGTTAAACCACTCTAAAAACACATGCAGAACAAACAGGCATGGTTAGAAACCCACTTTACAGAAACACTTGAAGAATTATGTTAAACTAGGTTTGATGAAGTTTACGATGGTATTAACTGAGATTTTGAAATGATCAACTACAACACAAAACAATGACTTGTATGGGAATGCTCTTCACACTTTTTAAGATATCAACTTTGCCTACCTGAATAATTATCCTCCCTGATCTCTTACAGACTATGGGTAAGAAATGTTGATTCATATTTTATTTCCATGTTTCTCAAGATATTTAGTTGGGTTTTTCAGTTTAATGTTACAGCCCTCCCTGAATTTTCAGCCCTTTAACAGGGAATGTCTCTTTACCAAAATCTCTTGATAGACACATTGAAACCAGCCTATCAAGAGAAAAGTCTATTCTGATCTCAAGTAAGACTTCCATCAACTAATTAAAGTCACTCCCATTTGCATAGGCAGCCATGAAAACTACAATTGGTAAATTGTGCCCAATGTAGATAATTCTTATTACATGTGAAAATTAGGGGGGGGGGGAGGGAGCATTTTCTATGCAGAATAACATCATCAAAGATCTGTGTTTTAGTAGAAAGTGGGCAACTACAAGCTCTACTGCAGAGGGTAAAGATGTGCTCAGTTAAGAGTGGTGATGAGGCCACCATGGGTAGATTTGAAAGGACAGGTTAGGGATAGATTGTCCTGGGGAAAAATCCATCTCTGTGGTCACTACATACAATAATATGTAACAATGAAATAACTTCCTGGCATATAATCAATAAATCATCAAGGTATTGTGAAATAGAACAATATCCTCAATAAATCAATACCTCTTTTTCAAGAAAAACCAAGAACTTTTGCAATATTACACAGAAGTGATGGAAAAGGGAAATACTCCAAGGGGATCCTGAGGCTTTCACCAGTTGATGGATTTGGTGGATGCTGGAATCAGTCCAGTTTAAGTGTGCCATGTTGAAGCAACATCTGCCTTACCTTTCCAGCCGCATCTGGAGAAGCGTTTTTCTGAAGTAGGAGGTTAGCAACTTCTATTTTGCCATATTTGGCTGCCACATGTAGAGGGGTAAATCCTTTCTGTAAGATAAACATTTGTGTTAACAGCTTTATTTGAGGCATAGACCATTTTTGCAGAACCCAGGTGCAGCTGGAGAAGTTGTGTTTCCATGTTACAGCAAAACGGAATGTGCCATTCCAAACCCAAAATGTGGACTTGGAAGAAACACAAGGATCCAATTTTCCACAATGCACAAGAGAAGCCAATTAAAGCACTGTATTTTATTTTGAAATGACTTTCAAATCCTTTGGATTACAAAGAAACTTTGAAAGTGTAGGGATCATGTCTACAGGGATATGACAATGAAGTTTGTTACATCAAATCTTGAGAGGGGAACCTTCCCATTGTTAGCAAAAGAAATATAACTTATGCTGGATGGTAAAAAGGCAAAATGGAAATCACTTTGATTCCACTGAATTTGATCAAACTCAAAATCAGCAACAGTAATTCAATGCTTGAAATTTTCCTCTTGAAGAAGTAAAATAACACAGCCTGTGTAAAAAGGCACCATTTCGATATAGCAATAGCACTTAGACATATACCACTTCATAGTGATTTTACAGCCCGCTCTAAGCAGTTTACAGAGTCAGCCTCTTGCCCCCAACAATCTGGGTTCTCATTTTATCCATCTCGGAAGGATGGAAGGCTGAGTCAACCTTGAACCTGGTGAGATTTGAACTGCCGAACTGCAACTAGCAAGCAGTCAGCTGAAGTAGCCTGCATTATAAACTAATCAGCTTCTCCAAAAAACTAAAATAATAATCAAAGGCTGCTGGGATGATACCTGGTCTGAAGAAACAGTTTGAACTTCTCCTTGGATAATACCTTATGGTGGGACACTTCCAACTTAAAGATCACTACCACCTTTTAAGGACCTAAATACACACAGGTGAACTTCACATGCACAAATTGTCTTCTTAAATAATCATTGGTTGATTCCCCCCCCCCTTTCACTTTCCCTCTATTATTTTCTCAACTGTGTACAGAGTTGGTCCAAGTTACTTTGCCATTTGAAGTTAAGGACATAATGCCTCCAGGCCCCCCTTCCAAGCATAGAAGCCAAGTGGAGCAGAATGGAGACCTTGGGTATGGGGTCCTCCACTGCTTTTGAAGCAGGAAGGCTGTTGGCTGAAAAGCTGCTCCTGCTGCCCTCTCCCCACCACCCTGGAGACCTTCTGCATTACAAAAGCGTCAGCCCTGATTCTGAGCCAAGGTTAGGCTGGCTCTGAATTAAAGGGATGATTCACAAGACAAACTCTGGAAAAGTTTCAGAATGAGAGAGCTGAACTGCTCTCTTCTTGAACGCCAAGGAAGTTTATTCCCAGGTAAAGTATTTTCTGAAAGTAGAAAAGGAAGCTAACTATCTCCCTAATATACTATGTTAATATATGCAGGGGATGGGGAAATATCAAAATCGTGCAGACAATGGTTTCCTTGTGACACTCTATGTAAACAGAAATTGGACTTTGAAGGGGGATAAAAAGAGTATTTATGCCTTTGAACTCTGGTGTACAGAAAACTCCTGAGAAGTCCATGGATGGCCAAGAAATCAAACAGGAAGAACATTGAACAAATTAATCCAGAATACTCATTCAAGGCACAAAGGTTCAAGCTGAAGTTATCATATCCTGAGCAATTATGTGAAGAACTAGCTCTGGAGAAGCTTTTAATTCTGAGAATGGCAGAAAGAAGGAGGACAACCAGCTGCAAGGTGGAAGAACTCCAATATGACAGGGAAGAAGGCACCTTTGAAAAACCTGAAGACCAGGCTGGGCAGAATAATCTGTGATTGCTAGGAGCCAACAGTGACTTAATAGCACTCACTCACTCACTCAATCAATCAATCAAACAATCAATATGGGATGTGGGATTTTCCATGGAAAAAACAATATATCCCTTACTTGCTAGAATTACGTCTTTTTATCCACTTGTTCAGCATCCTATGGAAAAACTCCAGAGTCCTGAAACACTCAGCTTAACCTTATTTGGTACATTGTTGGTCCAGAGCAATAATTCTATTGGGATCCATGTCATTCCCAGAGATATCATGGTATTTCGGCCAGGATCTGTTCTCCAAGCTTGCTGTTTAGCACCTGGACATTTCATTACCAAACTATGTAACATCTTCTGTGGGGGTGAAGTGCCTTGTTCATTTATATAGGTCCTAGGTGGTCGGTTGGTCTTGTGACTAGTTGGATCACAAGACTGATTGAGTCACAATCATGTGACTCATTCAGTCTTGTAAGTCAACCAGTCACAGGACCAACTGGCCACTCAGGACCTATAAAAACAAATAAGATACTTGTGAGATACCCTCACTGAAAAGGTTACCTAGTTTTGTAAGGAAACGTCCAGGAGTTAAATGACAAGCTTCAAGAAGAGACTCCTGCCAAAACCTACAACCCGAGCTATGAATATTCTCAACAATGTCTAACATAATTTTGTCTCCCTGGATAAAGTGAGGCCACAACACTTTTAAAACATCATTCCAAGGCCTGCTTTCTACACCTTAAGCATTCTTACCTTGGTAATGATACTCAAGGATGCCCCGTGGTCCAAAAGGATGGATGCCACATCTTCGTGTCCTTCTCGTGCTGAAAGGTGCAATGGGGTATAGCCAGACGTTGTGGCAGCATTTGCGGAGGCTCCTTGCTGTAACAGCTGCTGGACTATATCGGCTTTGCCCAGACGCGCCGAAATGTGCAGTGGTGTTTGGTCATCCTAGGAATGGCACGGAAAGAGTAAAAGACAGCAAATTCCACACTGAGATTCAAATGGGCAGCCAAGGGTTGTCCTTAGTGCCCATGGAGGAAAGCAGGAGATGACCCTCGACAGGTGCCTGGATAAATTTAAATGATGACTTCTGACTGGAAGACCACCTCAAGTGAGATAATATTGAAGAGGATCCCTTGCCATCTAACCGGGACAGATTAGCAGCGCACCAACTGTTTTGTTCCAAACTGCTTTGAGAGTGACACTGAGGCAAGAATAAAATGTGACACTTCCCCAAGAATAAAATGGTTGTTCTGAGCAGAAATAAGGGAGGGGGGGTAGCACTGAGCTCCACAGAAAATGTGGAAATGGAAAGCACTATTGCACTGAAAAGGGGGCAGCATCCCATTAAGTGTCATGCTCAAATGCTTCAACCAAAATGATTGACAGTCTCCTGCAGAGAATCCTAGGAGCTGTGGTGAAATCCTAATTTTTTTACTACCAGTTCTGTGGGCATGGCTTGGTGGGTGTGATAGAGGAAGGTTACTGCAAAATCTCCATTCCCCCCCCTCCTGGGGGAAGGATACTGCAAAGTCCCCACTCATGGGGCAGTAGTGGGTTCCGGATCCTGTTGCAGCCCTTAGCTGCGTACGGAGCTGGGCGTCCTCGTCAGACACACAAGCTGTGCGCCCCACCACCCTGCAACATCCAGCTGCTCAGCGGAGGTCACACAGTGCCGCACGCTGTGCGCGCATGTGCAATTGGCCCGTTTGCATCAAAAAGCAGAAAGGAATGCGGGTGGGCAGGTGGGCGAAATGAGTCACCGTTCCAGTATGGTAGCCGCTACTCCCAGCTACCACTGGTACGCCTGTACTGGGCCATACCACCCGGAACCCACTATTGTCCTGGGGGAAGGCTATTGCAAAATCTCCATTCCCACCCCACTCTGGGGCCAGCCAGAGTATTTGCCAGTTCTGCGAACTAGTCAAAATTTCCACTACCAGTTCTCCAGAACCGGCTGAATTTCATGCCTGCCTAGGACTATCTCCTCGTCAAGGGACAGTAAAGGATGCTAAGCGGCCCTGGAATGGGTATCCCGCCCCTTACATGCACAGCCACTGAAGGCTGCCTGCAGCACGAAGACCTGCGTGGAGAAGCTGCTTACCTTGGCTTTTGCTTCCACCTGAGCTCCATTTTGAACTAAGGACCGAACCACTTCTGACTGGCCAGCTCTGGCGGCCATATGCAGGGCTGTCTCACCCCTCTGTCAGGGGAAAGAGGTTGGGATGACAGAGGTTAGAATGACAGAGAAAAGGAAGAAAAATATGTTACTCGCAACCACAGAATTCTTTGGGATCAGCATGTGAAAGCCGGTCATCTTTGACCCCTCGAGACCATCTCGCCCTCACAAAGTAATTTATTCCAGGATTGATTTTTTTTTTTTTAGCCCTGAAAACACACAAAGGTTTTGTTCTTTGCCAAATGAAAACATTGCTGCTTTAAAAAGGAGAGGTGTTATTTGGGGAATTAAGGCAACCTTGTGCTTAAACGACATTTCCCACAGGAGAAGTCCATGGGATTGTGCCAACCTTTGGACCTTCAGATCTGAATCCCCCCATCCCCATTTGATTCCCTGCTTTTGTGCTGGAGGGCTCCAGGCGCCTGTTTGTCAGCAGACAAACTCACAGCTGGGCCAATCGAAACCGATCAATAGTAATAATAAAAAAGGCTATTATCAATCTGCAGAGCTTCATGTGCTTCAACCGAAGGATGGGTCACTAGGGAAATGGCAAGGACAGCAAGAAACTGAACAGGGAAAGCTGCATGTTTGCCATAGTTTGTCCCAGTTAAAAGCAAATCCTGCCCATAGCCCAGATTATGCTGAGTTTGCCTGTTTTTTGTGGCTGTGGCTCAATTCTCATGGCCCCTGAGCCTAGCAAAGAAAGGCCTGTGGCAGACTGTAGCAAAAGAAAAACATAAACAGGCCTTCTTTGGCCAGTTTTGCGAGAACAAATCCGCTTCAAACCGCTCTGGTTTTTAAAGTTTCTCTCCCTCCTTTGGGGATTGAAAGGAGCTCAAGTTTGATTGGGATCAGCTCCATGCACAGGGTGGCCTCAAAATGATGCTCAAGAAATAGAGACTTTCCCACAGACTAGAGGTGATCATGCACAAACCTTCTCCCTGGAGCACAAATCAGGAGAAAAAGAAACTTGGCAAAGATTTAGAAAAAGAAATGCTGCCCATCCCTTCGTAGCGCAGGAGAAAAGAAGGAAAAATAAAGCCTTCACTTCATGGATATGTCAGAGAGGGATTAATTCTGGTCAACAATGTCACTGCTTGGTGATGGCTGCCTAAGCAACATGCCACTGTTTGGAAACTTTACAGAGAAGTGATTGGCATGTGCTGTCCCATTTCTGTCTTATTCAGTATCTTGGAAAGCTTACAGCTTGGTCAATAGGTACAAGAGATCTCTCCCTGAGGGGGTGGGGGGCATCTGTGAAGATCAGGGATGGACAATTTCAACAGGGGTGCTGCAGATAAAACAAGGAGGACAAGGAAGGTCCCACAGAAAGGTATTCTCTTTTCTGAAATCCAGCTGTGAGAACTCCAAAGAGAGTGTGAGTCAGTTGCCTGTCAGTTGAGTTGGTTAGCAGAAAAACCAACAATTGGAGGTTCAGAACTGTGGTTCCAGACGAGGTCATTATCTCTGCCTAGAAAAACAGCCCAGCCAAGGGAGATAGAGAGAAGGAGGAGGCCACCAGGCTGCCCAGTAATGAAAGGTCCACCCTGGTACTTACCACATTGGTTGAGTTGGGAGAAGCTCCATGGTGCATCAGCTGTGAAACAATATTTACATGTCCCATGAAGGCAGCCACATGGATCGGAGTCAAACCCGACTAGGAAAGGAGCAGATAGAAGAAAAGAAGCATTCCTGGGCTGGTATAATATGAGAAAAGCCTTAGCAGAGTATTCCAAGGACTGAATGCTTAGGGGCTCAGCCTGCTGAGCTGTCTGGGACACCTGATGGTTGGTGGCTGTACAAATAGACATGACAAGCTGTTGCCAATATTACAAGGACATCATGTGGCAAGTTCAAAACATATTAGTTTGGCACTACGGCCACATTCTGCGCATCTACATAGGTTTGAAAGAAAATCTTCCATTGGACTCTGTAGGCATCGATTGCAAAAGCCCAGCACTCCAGAAGGTGTATTTTCTCTAGTTCTAGAAACTAGAGAAACTAGAAGTTGAAAAGGGCCACCTAAGCAGATCAAACTCTAGCATTCAGGCAAGAGCACACTTGTGTGATCGTGTGCATCACAGAGAATACAATATTCCACTTCACCTACACAGGGATGAGAGTTTGCTTTTCTATTTTCGTTTGGCGGCAGTAAAGGCTATCTTAAAAATTCATGGTGAAAATTTTGGCATTCAGAGCTCTTGTGCTCCAAGGCTGAAATGTGGCTTACTGTATTTTTTGGAGTATAAAACGCATCTTTTTCCCCACTAAAAGAGGGTGAAAATTTGGGTGCGTCTTATACACTGAATGTAGCCCCATCCACCCACTGGCCCCCACCCTTTTACCTCTGCCTCCCAGCAATTTACCTCCTTGCAGCAAAGTGGAAAATGGGGCTTGCAGAGNGGGAGACTCTCTGCAGCAACACAAGCGTTCATTGCACATATCTGACCCAGGGGCTGCAGTTTTGAGGACCCCTGATTTAGTGCAATATAAAAAAATGCAAATAATTTTTCTGTGGACCACCAAAATTTTCTTGCAGACCACCAGTGGTCCACAGACCCCCAGTTGGTGACGGCTGGTCTGAAGGGTTTCAAAAGAACTTCTCCTTCCTGTGGTTTTGGGTTGAGCTTCCTGCAAGAGCCGAAGAGGACGAATCCTGCTTAGCTTCCAAGCCTAAACTAAATTGGGCCAAGGGTGCCACCTACTGAGACAGGAGAGGAGCTTCAGAAGGCTTCCTGAACCACTTGGGGTGACCAGACAAACTGTAGGAAGCCTGGCTCTAAGGAAGCACAACTGAAAAGGGGAAGAAGGCAAGATGTTCTCCATGACCTTTTTCTTCAAAATTGACTAGCATCTCATTTTTCTTGTTAGCAGCCATTTCCTTGTGCCAAAAGTAATCATCAGAGAACTGTAGGTCACGGCTAAATCTGTATTAGGCTGAATTCTGCTGCTACAGCACATTAAGACAATGTGAGAAATTTTTTAAAAAGACCATTTTGGAATCAAATCCACATGCTCGTCAAAAACAGATTAAAGGTATGTTTTGAAAAACAAAGAAAATGCAATTTTAGGAATTCCTTAAGAAAAGAACCTTGCAGTTTATCTGAGCTTTTCCAAGACTTAGGCGGAAGCAAGCAGAAAATACAGCTTTAGGATTTTCCACTGAAGGCCAAACACATAAGAATGAGATGCAAACATCACTTCCAAACTACAGGAGGACTTGACAAAAACTCAACCCAAACCTCCCTTTCTTCTTTGTACAGTTGATACCCAATTCTGTACCACAAGCTTGCTTTGAATTCTGTCCTGAAAGACAGACTGACATGGGAAATCAAACCCAAATTGGGTCAATAGAATTACTTGCAAGCTGCTTGGCACCCCAAAAGTGGTACTTAGGCCTGGATAAGGCTTGGGAGCCCCAGCTCTTTGACCAGGTTTCTGGCATCTGTTTTTGGCTCCTGTCTGGGTTTTGCTATCTGCCCTCCTTTACAGGTGAAATTCAAAAAATTAGAATATCGTGCAAAAGTTCATTTATTTCAGTAATGCAACTTAAAAGGTGAAAGTAATATATGAGATAGACTCNTCGAACCGCCGAACTGCCGACCTTTCTGATTGACAAGCTCAGCGTCTTAGCCACTGAGCCACCGTGTCCCTTATTTATAGGGAGAGGCTCCAGAAAAACCTTTCCACGGGCTGTGAATCTTATCTTATGAAAGCAACACATTCAGCAACTTTAAAGCAATCGCAGGAAAGGAAAAAAGAAATGTTTACAATGGTAGAAGAAGCGCTTAACCTGGAAGTCAGACCTTTTCACCAAATCAGGCCAAGGCAGGTAGATTTCTAATCTTTTAAGCCAGGGGTCTCCAACCTTGGCAACTTTAAGCCTGGTGGACTTCAACTCCAGGTGGAGTCGAAGTCCTGGTGGAGTTGAAGTCCACCAGGCTTAAAGTTGCCAAGGTTGGAGACCCCTGTTTTAAGCCATAGGGTTGTTTTGCACCAAGTAAGAACCCTGTATTTAAATAAAGAGATGCAGAAAGACCTGCATCCAAAATATCCCCAGCGATGGAATGCAAACAATCTAAAGTGACCTGGCACAGATCTCTCGCTATGCATCTTTAAAAAGCCAACAATTGCAGAAAAGGCCTCCTTGAAGACTAAATGGAATCCTTGAAACCATCTTTGATGTATGAATGGAAGCCCTGAAGCACAGATTAGGGAGCCAACAGAGGTTTCCATAGGAGAGATACTCAGAATTGCTCTGTGATGTTGAGCACCATTTTTGACGATCCTAGCAGGGGAGCCACAATTTAGAGTTGTTGCGAGTCAGCGGTTTGATAAGAGGGAAAATAGTCAAGTTCATACACATTCCCGTGCTTAGTATTCTGACTTATCAAGTAAAGAGGGATTCTGCATCCCTCACATCCACTTTTGTCCAAACAAGATTACTTTAAAAACTTGTTTACATAGAAAAGCATTATAGTCTGACACAGGGGTCACCGACCTTTCGGACCTCAGGGACCACTAAATTCATAATTTTAAATCCCGCGGACCACTATATGATCTGTCTAATGATTGGGTGGGGGCGTGGCATGGTGGCCATGTGACTGGGTGGGTGTGGCCAACTCAATGTCACTCAGATTGAGGGATGCCTTGTCAGCCTCTACTCACCCCTCCCCTCCCAGCCACTCCTCGCCTCCCTGGCTGGGCTCCTTAGGGCCGCAACAGGAAGCAGTTGCTGGAGCTAAGCAGCCATCACGAGAAAGTGTTGGCAAAACAGCTCAGTTCAAATAGGATCTAACCAAGAAGGAGGCTCAGCAGAAGCACCTCACTGAGGACTATGATCATAGGCTTTCCAAGAAGAGGGAAGACCTGCGGGAGTGCAAGGCCAGGTACCGGTGCCTGGAACCTCAGCAGGCTGAGATGGTCAGCCAGTTCCATGCCGTGATGCAGTNCTAAACCTAACCCTAAACCTAACCCTAAACTTAAACCTAACCCTAAACCTAACCCTGAACCTAACCCTTACCTTAACTGAAATCGCGCTTTTGTGGGCGCGTTTATGATGTCGCGGTTTTCACGCTGCGGTTTTGTCAGTGCGCTTTTGTCGTGTGCACATTTGTCGGGTCACAAATGTTTTTTGTTGTCCCCATCACCACCAATACTATCATCATCATCATCATCATCATCATCATCATCATCCAGAAATCTTCTGATTGACCATACCAACGGTCTCTCTTCCTGCCAAGGGCTACTTTTCTACATCCCATCTGGCTGACTCAGTGGTGAAATTCAATTCTTTTTTACTACTGGTTCTGTGGGCGTGGCTTGGTGGACGTGGCAGGGAAAAGATACTGCAAAATCTCCATTCCCACCCCACTCTAGGGCCAGACAGAGGTGGTATTTGCCAGTTCTCCAAACTACTCAAAGTTTCCCCCACCGGTTCTCCAGACCTGTTAGAACCTGCGGGAATTTCACCCCTGGACTAGCTGGTCCATGAGAGAGGGAGCCTCGGTGACTGACCCCTCTCCTCTACTGCCTTCAGCTGGGAGATTAAAAGCTTCCAGTTCAAGATTTATCGATTGATGAATAATAACAGCTTGTCTTCCTTGGAAAAGTCCCTGGCTAATTAAGATTTTGAGATCACTTAGCTTAGTTTTAATATTTTATTCCCCTTGTATAATTAACAAGATTAACCAATTATTATTGGTTACTAAGAACTTGATTGAAGGAAACTGGATAAAGTTTTTTTTAATAAGTACATTAATATGGATGTACACTTTTGTTTGTTTGTTTGTTTTAGGACATCCCCTGATAGTCTTGTGCCCCTGGGGTCATAATAGCTTTCTTGCGCCATAAACTATGTACTTTTTTCATTCTGTGAATAAGCTTGTTCCAGTCCTGGCCATCTTTTCTTTTACATGGCCCTGAGAAGATGAGGCACTTTTAATTAGAATTTAATGTTGCATTGAAGTTTGGTGCAGGCTGGACCAGGAGGAACATGGGTAAGACAACTGCAGAAGCCTTTGTGCTCTCTGCTCAGTCGGCCCTTTCCTGGGACTGCAAAGGCCCAGATGTCCCTCTCTGCCTGCTCAGAGGGGGAAAGGGATGCCTTCTGCAGCCCACCTGAAGCGTGACTGAGCATGGATCGTGGCCAACTGCAAGGTCACAATCAGCTCCCAGGGAAAAGGTCTGAGGGAGCTCCTCTAGTTACAGAAGGCTGAGAATGCTTAAGAGTAAAAGAAAAAACCAGAACTGTTAAAAATGTTTTAAGGGTTCGGGTTTTGTTTAAAAAAAAAACAGTGGGGTTATTCATAGATTTCTTTCTCCAGCTAGAGAGATTTCTCAGAATGAGAAAAGAATGACTATCTTTTTGTATGAAGATTTTTTTAACATGACCACAACATCAGCAACAAAACAAAACCAATTCTTTCCTTCTCTTCCTCCCTCCCTCTTTCCTTCCCCCCTCCCCCTTACCCCTCCCTCCCTTTATATTTTAAAATAATCATATCAGCAGCAACAATATGAAAACATTTCCTTCCTTCCTTCTCTCCTTCCTTCTTTCCCTCCTTCCTCCCTCTCTCCCTCCTTCCCATCTTTCCTTCCTTTTTTGAAAATATCATATCAGCAACAAAATGAAACCAATTCTTTCCCTCCTTCCTT